AATAACAATTAGGATCGCGACAAGTTAAAAGTGGATCTGGTCACAGCTGTCGATGTAAGCGCTAACAGCTTATCCGAATTCTAAAAGGCGGTCTTTTCGCGACTTAAAAAAATGACAAATAGGAAAAGAAGCTCCCTTTTTTGAGAGTTTTTGCGATAAGAGGACCAATTCTCGATTTATTATAAGTAGTGTTTTGGTGTAATCTGTTGGGGTTTTTCTTGCGACCTCGGTCTTATTGAGATGTTGTTAGTAGTTGAGGTCAGAGTGGGGGGCGGGGGGAGGGGGAAGGGGGTGCGTTCCGGTCTCGTCGTACCTGCGGACGCAGTGTATTGCTCGGAGGTGGTTGTTGCTTAGAGGGGGGCTGTAGCGGGAGGCCTTTCCTGAAATGCCTGCAAGTGGGATTAGTGATATTATATTAATTAAATTCAATTCAATCAAATTAAATTCAGTGAGATATTATCTCCTTTTAGTTATGCCGAATAGCGAATGAAGTGTACCAACAGTATAATCGTGGACAGTACTGTATGCTAATTCTCTTTGTTGACGTTCCTCCTGGTTTGTTTTTCTTTTTTTTGGTATAAATTCTTTTAATTTATCAAAAAAAGAAACAGTGTGCAACAGCAAAAGGCAACTGCAAGTGTATTCTTCTAAGTGAATAAATAATTAGCGGTACACACCAAAATGATTGGTGCGATCATGCTTTTGTTTATGGGAGATCTAAATGGCACTTCCAGTTTTTTCATAAATTTGATTGTGTTCCCCTCCACGATGGGCCAGTAACACCAAACAAACTGCATATGTTAAAGCTTGGACGATTTCAGGCCCTCGGCCTTTTTCGATCTAACTTGGGGGATATTCAAAATCCTGGGCTACATGCCTACAATAAGTACCATCGTCTGTTCTATGGAAATGCGCCGTCTCTTCGGGTTTGGCCTGAATGTTTGCTTACTATCCTGTTGGTGCCATTCTCTATTGTGCATCGTACACCGGTTGTCGGCAAGGCGAACAACATATCCGCATAGGGGACATTTTCTTGAAATTTCGGCTTCCCGCCTTTTGTCCCTCGTTTATGTCTCTAAAATTTCTAAAACACTTTGTGTAATTCTGTTTAGCAGATGTTTGCTTTTAAAATTTTCACTGTTTTGCTGCTCCCGATTTTCTGTTTGACCAAAACTTTTATTCTTCGGCATGTGAGATTTACGCGGAAATTGAATCCAAATTTTCGGAACTGCACATGGACATGAATTCGAGATATCAAATCCGCTCGGACTATCAATGCATCCCTTGTTAGTGCTATTATTAGGATGCCCCCACACACTGAGCGCAGCTATGCGAGGCCCTTAAGGTCCCCTGGGAGCTGCATGCCTACAATAAGTACCCCTCGTCTGTACTATGAATATGCGCCGTCTCTTCGGATGTCGCCTGAGTATTCGCTTACTATCCCGTGGGTGCTACTGACTGTTATGCATCGTATACCGTATACCGATTGTCGGCAAGGCGAACAGCTCGTCCGCGCAGGAAATTTTTTGTTGAAATTTCGGCTTCTTGCCTTTTCTGGTTGCGGAGTTGGGAAATTTGCTGCCAAAAATGCAAGTATTCTTACGTAAAGCAGAGACGCATGTGGAAGCTGAACGTGAAGTTTTCAGCGTTTCACTTAAATCTTAATCCTTCTTAATTCTAAATTCTAAATAAATTCTAAATCTTAATCCTTCTTAAATCTTAATCCCCAAATTTTTCTTATCTCCAAGCTAATAATTTCCCACCAAAATCTGACTTGCTTGGTACGTGGAATCTAGATGCTCGTAAGAGATGAATGTGAAATCTGAATTGCGCGCATGCATTGAACCCCATTATAAAATTCCAGCTTAACCTTTCTGGTTCCCGGATTAGTGATTTTCGCGCCAAAACTTTTGCACAGCCGCGCGTGAGACCTAGGCCTATTGAAGGCTGAATTTAAATTTTCTGGATCTTCTAAAATTTCCTGGTTTTTCTGGTGCTTGTACGTGTGGCTTAGGCGTTCGTGGGAGCTGAATTTGAGTTTGCGAGATAACATACGGGCAGTGGGCTTCCTCCTAAGACTTCAGCTTCCTAGCATTTCTGCTTCTCGATTTGAAAACCCTGGATAAAATGCACGAGAAACACACACACACATACACAAGAGTCTTGACAGAATGCGTTTTAGATGTTAAATAGAAATAATATAAATTTAGCTGAGGATTTAAATATAGAGAAAGCTTTGTTTTTTTTTTTCGGAGGATTCCAAGGGTTCCATGGATGTGTAGGATGGTGGCATTAGCATGCAGCTTCATCTTTACAGATTCAGCATCCCCGTTCTTTTCATTAAAAAAAAAGAAATAAGAATTTTGATTTTTGATTGATTTTGATTTTAATGTTGTTTTTGAACTGATTGAATGAGTATTCTGGTTTTGATTTTGAATCGGTTTTGAATTTCGAATTTTGAATTGAAGTGATTTTGAAATAAGAACTGATTGGTATTGAATGAGTATTCTGGTAAACTTCTGATGGTTGTAAAAGATGGAATTTTGTGTAGAGTCTGCCATCGGGATTTAATCCCTGTGGATTTTCTGTGTAATTAAGTTTAGGCCATTATGCTTTTCTATCTTTGCTGAAGAAAACTTTTCATTTCTAGAAAGTATTGACGTGAACATTTCGCCCGATAAACGATCGGTGTTTTTTGAACGTGAAAAAGAACTGTTTGCGTTGTTACGTGCATCATTATTGGCCACTTTTGCACCACATCTTGGCCATGCTGGTTCTTTAAATACTCCAATAAGCAGCGATCTTCCACTATCAGGTAATTCTTTGTTTTTTTTTTTAAGGAGATTTGGGGCGGGGTTTTCAGATATTTTCTAGAGAAAACTCGCAGTATGACGGGTGGAATGCCACAGTAGAAATGTTAATTTGCGTTGTTTTCACAGTTTTTTTTATTTTTTATTTTTTATTTTTTATTTTTTTTTTTTGAGAATGTTACTTGTTTCATGAAATGTGCTAGAAATGTAGATCTCTATAACCGGGGGAAATGGTTGTCTGCAGAAATTTGTATCGCATTTTTAAGGCCGATTAAGTGAAATCAATAAATGAATGCGTACGCCATTTGGTAGGACTTCGGCTCTTAATTAAACTGTTTAACTTCCTGGACGGGGAGGGGAGGGAAGGGGGGGGGGGGGGGGGGGGGGGCATTTTAGGCATTAATTTGGTATGAACAGTGAAAAAATGATAA